CTCCACGCCTCCTTGTAGTGGGGAAAGTAGAGACCCTGTATTTGCCGGCTGACAAGGCTAGCTTCGCGTCTCGCGCGCCGAGCTTGGGCTACTGCGATGAAAGAGACAGTCTGTGAATAAATGATCAGAGGCACCTCGTTGATTGAGATACACAAATCTGCGAGCTGAATTGCTACACGACCATACGAATAACCTATTCTACATCCAGTATCATGCCAAAACTCGACATATCCGTTCAAGATGAGCAGAAGGCTTTCGAAGCTGATATAGCTGCCATCGAAAAGCAATGGAGTTCTGCAAGGCAGTCGCATTTGAAGAGGTATGTAGCCCCGTCAGATCCCAAGCGGTAGATCTATTCCGTGACAGAATTCAGCTGACCTTGTTGCCAGACCATACACTGCGAGCACCATCGCCGCGCTTCGCACTTCCATTCCCGCTCCCGCGGAAGCCTCCTCGATCCAGGCCATCAAGCTCTGGGAGCAACTCAATGCACACAATAAAGCCGGCACATGCGAGTTGACATTCGGCACGACCGACCCGGTTGCAGTTTCGCAGATGGCCAAGCATCAGCAGACTGTCTACGTGTCCGGTGCTCTATGCGGATTCTCAGAAGTCGCACTCCCCGGAATGGACCACGCGGACTACCCTTGGGATACCGTGCCGAAGGTTGTTTCCAAGATCTTCAAGAGCCAGCTTTGGCATGACCAGCGCCAACGACAGTACCGGTTGCGACATCCGATTGAGGATCGTGAAAAGCTGGAGAATTGGGACTACATGGCCCCAATCGTCGCGGATGGCGATATGGGCTTCGGTAGCCTGACGAGTACGATGAAGATGGCGCGAGAGTTCGTGGACGCTGGTGTCGCGATGATACACATTGACGACCTTGCGATCGGGATGAAGAAGTTTACTGTTGGCCAAGGGCGTACTATTGTACCGACTCAAGAATACCTGGATCGTTTGACAGCTGTGCGGATGCAATTCGATGTCATGGGTGCGGAGACGTTACTGCTATGCCGCTGCGACACAGACCATGCCGAGTTCATCACCAGTGTTGTCGACGAGCGCGACCACGAGTATGTGCAGGGGGCGACAAAGACAGTAGAGCCGTTACAGAAGTGTCTTGCCGCTGCGCAGATGAAGGGGCAAGATTTGAAGGCTGCGCGGGACGAGTGGAAGGCAAAAGCGGGGATCAAGACTTTCGATGAGGCTGTCGAAGCTGTTGCGGCGAAAGAAGAGTTTGTCGCTTACAAGGCGGAGCTTTCGAAACGCCAGGTTACTTCTCTATCAGACCGTCGCGATATCGCAAGTAAGACCGTGAAACAGGATGTGTTCTTCGACTGGGAACTATCGCGATCAGCGATGGGACAGTACATGATCAAGAGCTGTGTCAAGGGTATCGTGGAACGTGCCATCGCCGCTGCGCCACTCGGAGATGTGACCTGGGCGCGTATGGACTCTCCGAATTGGGAAGACATCGTAGAGTTCCACACCGAAGTGCGGAAGGTGTATCCGGACCGGCTCTTCGCCTTTGGCTACACCGGTGACTACGACTTCGCGAAAGCCGGTTTCAGTGATGACCAGGTGAAAAACCTTCATCTCGATCTTGCCAAGCTAGGCATCGTGTGGCAGGTCCAGCCGATCTGGAGTCTGCAAGGTCTGAACATGGTGACAGAGCAATTTGCGAAGATGTGGCAGGACCAAGGTATCGCTGGCTACTTGAAGTCGGTGCAAGGCCCAGCTCTTAGCTCAAAACCTATGACTGATGGGTTCGAGAAGTTGAGTTATTGCGGTGGATATTTGGCGGATGCTTTCTTCGAGACGGTCGCGGGGGAGTCTATCGTAGACAAGGGCAAAACAGCGTGATTGTAAAGTGGTTGATAGCGTACAATATTAGCACACTAGCTCCAATAGTATCTCACTTTTCAATGACGTGTCATGTCCAACCTTCGAAGTCAAACACCCCAGGAAACGAGAGTAGGCCATCAACAGCCAAATCCTCAAGCCCAGAATCTGCAATCCCGTACTCGAATGGCTGCTGCATGGCAAATGGCATCTGGAAGTTTCCGTTGATCTGCTGTAGCTGATTGTTGAAGTCTTCCTCCGGTTCCTGGTGATTCGGAGCGAGCATGCCACGAATCGTCGGTAGCTGGGAAGGTTGCGCAGAGCGAGGGAAGTCTTCATTTATCATCTCCTCAATCATGCGCAACACCGGACGATGCACTACTAGCGCGCGAACCTGCGGAAGATGCTCTCGGATTGCCGTAACGGTTTTCTCTGATAGCCGAGTCGGTGGTTTGTTGGGTCGGTCGACCAGCGGGATTTCGCGCGCCAGTAGCTCGAAGACGTCTCGCAGGGATTCTGCCTTCGCCCATCTATCTGCCATGATCGCTAGGATGTTGGAGCAGGCGCGGAGCGCGTCAGAGACATCGAGAGAGTAGTAATTGTCGGTTCTATGTTCCGGCGGGGTAGCCCAGAAGCAGTACAAGAGTGTGATACCAGACTGGAATTGTACGAGGAGCTGCTAGGGTCAGCGCATGCGTCATCGAGTGCATGGAATTGCTTACTGCAAGCCATGGCTGAGCGATTTGACGATCGATCTGAGTCCTACGAAACATTAAGCAAGCCTGGCTGCTGGCTTGAACCGACCAATCGCCGGCAGATCCGATCACGTTGGCTTTTGTCGGTCGGTAAAGCATGAGCAACGTATAATGATAGATCATCGCTTGCCACCGTTGTGATGTATAACCTTTTGACTGTGGATCTGAAAAGTTTTGTACCCTAGATTTGAAGTTCTCCAATTCCGCAAGTATTCTTATCCGCCAATCTGAACTATTCTCAAATTGAGCTTGGTAATCCCATCGAAGCGTAACGGCGCTTATTTCGGATTGTATGCGTCTGCACTGCAGTATATGAAGCGCTGAGGAGTTACACGTGTAGTTCTGAGAGTCACTCAAGTCATGATTAGGCGGCGTGATGGCAGCGGCGCCTAACAGGTCATGGTCCTCGATGTTAGCGAAAGGCCTTACGGTAATCATATAGTCCGGCACAGATGGAGGAAGATCGAAGGAGGACATGACCAGCCGATCAAGAAGGTACGCGCACCAGAAGCATCGCCGTCGAACTTGAATTACCAGTCGTGCATGAACGTCGGTTGATGGTGGTTCCGTCTCGCCGAGGTGTAATTGTTGCAGAACGCATTGTCGTATCGCTGTGGACGCGAGGGAAATGATGCGCTCAGTAGAGCTCTGGTGTAGTGCATGCACGGACAGCAGTAGATATGCCTGCACTTGGAGGATTCTATCCGGTTGACGTAGCACAGCCGGAAGGAGTGCGATACCACTATCGTAGAATTCTCGAGCATTGAGCATTGCCGCATAAGGTTGACGCAACAGTACTAAAGCTGTCGCGTATACAAGATTAATGAAGAACCCTTGCCATGCTCGTTCTTCAAGGTCGCGGGACAAACAGTGCTTCCACTCCGAATGCCATGTGAGGAAGGTGTCCCAGTGGAAAAAGGGATACTGGGCTTGAGCGCGCTCGCGATATGCGTTGAGCAATGATTCTTCGAGTTCCGGAGAGATGCTGGTCAACAGTGCATGCGCGCTCTTCACTTCGACCTGTGCCGGTCGTGCGGTTGTTGGGGTACGAGAAGCATCATGAGCTGGAAACTGCGCTGAAGGTGATGCGATAAGCCCAAAGATGAGATGATTCAAGTCGGGCTCATCATCTGTGCCCGAAGCTATTGCATAACCCGAAGATGAGCCGGAAAGCATAGATGACCGCCGCGGCGGCAGGGTTTGCTGAATCGAATGAGCAACTGCTCGCCCTGTGATCCCATCACCCGGCAACCCGCTGCTTGCTGGGGACGTGTCGTCTATGTCGTGATCAGGCCTGTTCTGGGTTCTTGCTAGATGATCAAGGCTCTGCTGCGGGTCTCGAGCCTCAAGCTCAGCAACACGCTCTTCCAGAATGCGCACATATTCGCTCTCAACATGCGGTCGAGGCGCTGGCTGCGTAGGAAGGCATTCCTCGTCCCCCTTGACACAATTCTGGCACGGGCGGCTGTCTTCGCACTTCTGTTTCCGATAGCGACATCGCTGGCAAGCTAGTGTTCGTTGCTTTTTGGCAGGCGGCTCCTGCGGAGAACTTTCTGTATCATTGTCCATCGGGTGTATTTCTCAGGCTTCGGTCCATTCTTGGATTCCGCTAGCAATGGCGGTGATGTTTGTTGCGACGGCATACCTTCACGCGGTCCAGGGCGAAGGCCTGGATGACGGTGCCGATTGCCGGGGGCATGCGATAAGGGGGGGTGCGCCTTACCGGAACAGGCGAAGCGTCCACGTGACCAGCCCTCTCCATCTCCAAGTCTGTGCCCCGCCCACATTTCTCCTGAGTTAGAGCCGCTCCCGTGTCAGCTCAGCACTCAATCATGACCACCGTTGACCTGTTTCAACCCGAAGTTTACCCGTTTCTCCTTCTACGAGGCCCACTCGCCCTCTCATTCTTGGAAGTCCTGAATCGACGCGACAAAGCTTCATTCTGATACGGCCGTAGACCATACGGATTGGGAGCGCGTTCGTACTCAGTCCCACAACACCCGCACGGTCCCTGCCAAAGAAAAGTGTCGATTTCGCAACACTTTCCTGAAGATGCTGCATCGAACAGACTACGCGTGCCAACCATCTTACTTTCGGGTGCTTGCAGCTCCTGACACCGTTGGAAGCGTGCGCCTTGATCCTCTAGTACAATGTCGTCCATTCTGTCTGGAGGCCGCGTAACTCCAGTGAAGTCTCAGCCTCCTTCTTGTCCGCTAAACAAGTTCTAAAGGCCCGAGTCGGAATCGGAAGTGGAAGCAATGATCGTAATCAATCTGTCGCGATAGCATGTGTAGCGCGTGGGTCTGTGATTAGTAGTCGCCGATATAAGGTGTGCAATACCTCGATGGCCCATGAAATAACTGCGCCTCTATCTCAGCCAGCCGACCGAAACCAGCCACGATGCGCTTCGAATACTCTAGCTTGGCACTTTTTGCCGGGATTTCTTGGGCAGCCTCTTCCCCAAACACTACAAACTTCGAGCGGGAGACGCGCAGCCTCGATGAAATTTACCAGGCAGCTTTGGCAGAAGGTGGCGTTGTCACTCTTTGGCATGGCGGCGATGAGAAGACCCAGCAGAACAGTCTGAAGAGCGCCTTCGAGGCACGGTTCCCTAACATGACACTCAATGTCACCGTCGACCTGTCGAAGTACCATGATGTCAACCTTGACGCACAATTGGCTGCCGACAATGTTTACGTCGACAGCATCATCTTGCAGACGCTTCACGACTACCCAAGATGGAAGAAGCAAGGCGCTTTGATGAACTACGCACCATTGAACTTCGACAAGATCTATCCTGTGTTCAAGGATGCCGAAGCGGCTTACAGTGGACTGCTTATCTTTGATTGGGGGTATGCTATCCCTGGTAATGCCTCGACTTACATACGCTAATCAGCAACAGTATCTCTGCAAACATGAACAAGACGAGCACCATGCCGACTTCGTACCAAGACTTCACGAAGCCCGAATACAAGGACAAGATCGTTCTGACCTACCCTAATGACGATGATGCCGTCTTGTACCAGTTCGAACTAATGTACGTTCTCCCCTCCTGTCCTCATATGCCTAGTTATTGGCTAACGACTTGCGCAGCATCGAAGAGCTCGGTGAGGAATGGTTCAACGCCCTGCTGGCCAACAACCCCCGCTGGGTGCGCGGTACTGCCACTCCCGGCACACTCATCAAGGCTGCCAACAGCAGCAGCGCGGTGACCTTCAGCTCGGGTTACTCATTCGCAGACCGACCACCAGTCACGTACGCGCTCCCCAGCGACGCCAAATTTGTCTCTTGGGCTCAGACCGGCGCAATTCTGAAGAAAGCACCCCACCCTGAAGGCGCAAAGCTACTCCACAGCTTCATGCTCAGCGACGAGAACCAATCTAGCCGTGGCTGGAGCGTCCGTGAGGATATTCCAGCACCAGAAGGCGCCGAGACGATCCTGCAGCAGCCCGGTACTGATGCGCCTGCGTTTGCTGAGTTCATGGCAGACCGTGGTCATGTTGAGAGGCGGAGGGACTTTTATGAAGTTAGGATTGGTACGGCGCAGGGCCTTAGCCCGCTTGTTGATGACTTGTGAGCATGCTGACAGATCATCGGCGCGCATGGAGATAAACAGTCTCCAAGAGACAACATATAGATGTTACCTTCTGAGGCTGATCCAGTTGATCCGAGAATCTATTGGCTGCCCTGGCCGATTTGGCCGTTACTACCTATACTTTCTACTGGATATCTCTTGCCCGTCCTCTTCCTCTTTTTCAACCTTCCACGTTTCATTGGGTCCGTCATTGGCGGTAGCCTGCCGCGTTCACACCGCGATACCCTCCTCTAACCCGATTTGTTCAAGTGCACATGCAGCGACCTTGTTTACTCGCGCCAACCTCACTGCCCTAAGATTGTTGCAAACTCGCACTGCAATCTCCTTCGGTCGCAAGGTCTTCGATATGTCTGAATCAAAGCGGTCGGCTGCTAAGTAAGTCGCACAAGCCAAGCATGCTCGCTCCTCCAGCCCTAGATTGGTACTGACGTGACCCCAGGCTCTTCAACAACCCCGCGCTATCCGATGTCAAGATCAAGCAGATACACGAAGGTCACACGCGCGAGTACTATGCGCACAAGGCTGTGCTATGTTTAGAGTCCGACTACTTTCTCAATGCTTTCACTGGCAACTTCAAGATAGATTGGCAGATATTCGGAGCTGTGTGGAAGGAGAACACTAACGATCTGCAGGAAGCATCGGAAGGCGTCATGGAACTCCATGAGGACGATCCCGAGCACTTTGAGTTCCTTCTCAAGTTCATGTACACCGGCGCCTACAACAGACACGAGATCGCGAAATTCGCAGGCGACGACAAGACCAAACGGGTTCTTGTCCCGATCGGCATTCACGCGATTGCTGACAAGTATGACGTCGCCAAGCTCTACGAGCCAGCTGCGGAAGACGTGAAGGCTGTATTTATGGAAGCTTCCAAAGGCCAGGATATGCTCATCACTGCAATCCGCGCTCACTACGGTACCGAAGTCAACGTCGATGGGGCTATGGGGCGTCTCCTAACTTCCGTTGTGTTCGAAAAGCACCAAGACCTTGTCCAGAAGAAGGCATTCGAGCAGCTGCTATTGTCGTATCCCACCTTCGCCGCAGATGCTGCACTACACTCTCAGCGAAGCAACACACTTGGTGAAGGGGCTCTTGTTAAGTGCGACTCATGCAGTGTTAAAGCTGTTCATATTGTCAACTTACGCAATGCAGGCTGCATAAGGTTCTATTGTCCCAAGTGCGCCTGTCACAGAGTTCTTCCATGATATGATTACGATGAGTGGCAACGAGCAAGGCTCTGCGGGTGACATGGGTGCAGTAGTGAGCCTGGAAACCTTATCAGGGAGAGTAAGCAAGCGGTACCAAAGCTTCACTGGTGACCTTTTGTACAGCATCGATTGTAGATGCAGCGAATTCACGTACATAAGATGAGATCTTGCCTAGTAAAAGTGCACAAATAAAGTCGAATACAATCTGTATCTGCACCTATAGAACACGCATCTTTTCCCCTATGCTTGGGAACACCATAAATACGGTTCGTCGATTTGCCTAAGTGAGCTTTGTCGGTAGTGATTCGAATGTTTGCGGCTGAGTCCTCAGCTGCTGCCACTGGACGTGTTTATTTACCTCTAACAGAACCAAGTAGACTAAATGACTACATATCGTTCCAATTTCACTTAGGATGCCGTTGCGATGATGAATGTTTCTCAGCAATGTCCTTTAGACGACAATGTACATGAGGTGTTATGCTGCATCCCCTGTCACCAGATCGTTGAAGGTGGACATTATACACCGTCGACAGAGCTACCATTTGATCTTGATGAGACAAGCAGCTGTGATCGAAAGCACCTCGCAATGTTATTAAAAGCACGCACTATCAGTACAGTATATACATTGACAAACGCGACCCTTTTATAACATACAGAAAGAGAAGAAGCAGTACAAGTGTGGGTGAAATAACAATATCTACATTCCCATACTAAGTGTTCATCTCATAATGCTTGAGGAGAATCGAGTCAAACTCCAGGCCGGCCTCTACCACGTATTCAATATGATTTTGCAGACAGGCATCCCAAAGGTCCGGAATATACACAATTCCATGTGGCGCTCCATGTAGAAGATATACTGCTCGAAGATTGGGCAATTTCCCGATCCCCGTTGCCAACTGTCGATTGGCGTTGTCCGCGACTTCTAGGTGCCAACTGCCATCACGAGGACTCGAGAGCTGGTCGTTGCTGAGTGCCAACAAGGTAATCGAAGTGGGTAAGCTTTCAACTACTCGAAGCTGGAAGTCCAGAGTCGGATCCCAGTGAGCTTCTTCTGTGGTGTAGGTTATCGTTATAGGTGTTTCTGTGAGAATCATAGCGGGCACTAACAGAGTTTGTAGCTTCGTGAACTTGTTGAGAGTACCAACTGCGAGAGTGGAACAGCTTTCGGCCCTGGACCTGGCATCAATTGGGGAGAGTGAAAGATATCGTAGCGTATCCTTGCTCTGAAGAAGCGCTTCGCAGATACCGCCGCAGTCCAAAACAAGTTCAGTGTCGTCAGGTTCGTCATAGGTTGACAGAAAGTCCAGTTCGAAACGAAACTCCCGTAGTCGGTAGCACGATCGTACGGTCATGATGATCTGTTGCATCGATAAATGGCAGTCGACAAGATGAAGAGTGCTGAGATTTCGGAGCCCATCTCCTTCGAAAGGAAGCCGTACAGCCTCGGGGCCGAGAAGAGCGCGTTGTATATCGTACGGTTCGCGGTGACGATAATGTTCCAAAGCCGGAAGATACCGAAAGGTCGCAATGCAATCATCGTATGACTCCGGTTCCGGGTATAAACAGCGTACTCCGTTATGATCATCATTCAGAATGAAACTGTCTGTGATGACGTTGATCGTAGCAAGTTTTACAAATTGACTTAGCCTGCTTGATCCAAGTTCAAGACCAAGAAGTCTGCTCAGAGAGCCGCTGTAGGTACCGAGAGTCAGCTCTGATACGTTCGGACTCAACCAAAGCAAGAGCGTCATCTGCGCTTTCTCTGGGGCCCCCCTAAATTCGCGTTCCCAAATGCCTGCCACAATAGGATTGAATAGACCTTGCACCATGGTTGGCAGGCCTTCATCAATTGCTTCCTCTATCGCTAGCACCATATCATCGTGTTGTTCATCAAGGCCATCTTCCTTGGTTCTTCGGGCTAGCGGTTGATTACAACGGATGACTTGAATGTATTTGGCCAATTCTGATCGCTCTTTAAACGTTCGGAGGAGTCTCGTCAATTGGCGAACGATGCCCTGTTCGTCCATTTCGAACTCAAAGGGTGCTTCAGGCCCAAACGCTTGCCTCATCTTTTTCTCATTTCTCCAGCCAACGACATGTATATCTGTGTAGAGCAGAGGTGTCGCACTCTTTCTGAGCCTTTTTGTCGTCTGGCAAAGACTATGTAAGCCCTTTCTCTTCGCACGGTCGTCGTCGTTGTGTTTCAGCCAGCTCTGGTCACAACGTCTCGGCAGATTGGAAAGCCGAATGTTTGGCCGAAGATGTCCAAAGATTTTATCGAGTAGTTCAGTGGGCAATGTAGTAAGATTGGGGGCAGCCTGATTCGGGCCATCCCAAGACATGACTACATCATCGTCCATCGGCGCGGCGCGGTAGCGAAGAGATCAGAGGTGTAGGACGGCGATAGGTGAAGAGCACACAAGCGCAGATGACTCCAGGCAACCTGGAAGATTGCAAAGGATGGAAGACGTGATGATATTCGTGATCCACAGCGGTGGAGGAGAATGTTGACACGTCGCGAGGAAGGGACGCGTGTTTGACGTGACCCGCTAGGGAAGTTTATCATCGGCGGTTCTCCGGAAAACAAGGGTCGGGAACCCGTCGAAGCGCACATACAGTTCTTGAAGGCTGCATTGTGTGTCGGGTCAGTGGTTGATGTACGGTTGCCTCGCTAGGTATACGTTGGTTAAACATCGTTTCCAGAAGGGTTGGATGTTGGTGCGCGTTGCTTGGCGTGGTCCGAAATAGGCAACATGTGGATAGCCGTTGATTGCGGGCGTCTACAATGTTACCAACCGTCATCTGAACTTTCCTCCTGTTGTACCTCGGCAACTCCAATCAGTTCAGCCAAAGTCATACGACCTGCGCAAAACACCTTTTCCACGCAACATCAAAAACAGTACGGCTCGTGGATCGTAGTCATATACATTTTCTTCATGAATAGAGTCTCACACGCGTACGTCCCAACGTCGGTGTTCTGGCAGGAGCTTTCACATCAACCAAGTACTGCAGGTGCGCTCGAACATCGCGCGACAAGAAGACCGACCCCGGATGACCTGGGACCTGAGTATCCGTGTCCAAATTCTATCGCAGCCATTTTCGCAGCGGTGAAGATGACATCGCACGATGTGGTGTGTCTATGACTTCAAAAAGCGCTGGTTGGTTTCGGTAGATCTCGCAGATGTAAGCATGCAGCCAAGTCGCAACGGTCACATTCCCGATGAGCGAGCAACACCATCAAAACATCATCAAATCGACCTCAGATCATCTTCGCTGAACACCATTACGACTGCGCTGAAGTGCAAGTGCAGTAACTCGGGTGATACTGTACTCGGTGTAGAGTAAGCGCTTGACGCGTCGCATCTCCATCTGGGTTCTACGATGTTACCAGAATATGGATATAAAGGCGAGAATAATACAGAAATATGATTCAAGCACAAGACGAACTCCCACTACCTCCTTCAGATATTACTCCCAGCTCAACAACAGACCGAAAAAGTAAGACTATTCCTATTGTGTCGCAAATTCCCAAAGCCTAGCTAATTCCCCAAATAGTCCAACCCACAACCATGAAGCTCATCACCACCCTCACAATTCTCATTGGCATCAGCGCCACCACCGCCATCGCCATCGAACCCCTCGAAGAAGTCCATGCGCAAAGCTGTGCCAGCCGCGATTGGGGCTGTGAAGACGGCTATTGCTGGAAGAAATGTGGCAACCTAGGAGAATGGTGCTGGCTGGCCGCAGATGCGGGCCAGGGTAGTTGGGTGACTTGCGAAAACGACGCGGCCTGCAATATAAACTTTATCCCTAGTGCTGGGTGTGGCGGCGCGTGCAGCTGCTGAGCAAGCACAAGAGAGGAATGGCGAAGGAAGGCGGCTGATACGACGGAGTTGAGAAGCCCACCACTCATTTGCGCTCTTGGCTTTCGGGAAAGGTATCTAGATAGTGTTCGAGAACATCAATCACTTCTGCTTGAGCGCTTTTCGCGCTACCGTTTCGCATCTTGTGTGCGTTTTCCTGCTTCTTTCTCGAAGCTACCGCTTTCCGATGCGCTCGGCTCTTGACATGTAAACTCCAGTCGTTCTCGGTGATAGAGGTCGTGCCGCATGTCTCGCAGACCTTCTTCTGCCAGAGGTCTGGTCGTTGTCCTAAATCGTACTCGCGCTTCGGTGTGAGCATATCTGCTGCTGCTGGCGATAGTGAAGAGGGTGATGGTAGTGGTTGGCCGGAGAGGAAGTGTTCGGTAATGGTAATGGCGGGTTTGACGACGCTGTCTTCCCATTGCGATATGTCGGAACCGTCGACTAGGAAGGTGTTACCCTTCTGGCCCGCACTGATTAGTGCGTTGAGAAGCTTGATGCGGATCCATTTGATCTGGCGATTGGCGTATTGACGGGTAGCAGCTTGTGTCTTCTCGATGGCGAGGGCCTTGAGCTTCTCTAGTTCAGATGCCTCCCACGAGACATCTGAAAGAGCGCTTTGGTACTCCAGAAACTCCTTGTATCCTATTGAAACCCAGATGCCGCGAGTCTGATCGAGACTAGCACCTGTGTCGGCTTCGTGCCGCTCACGGAAACTGCTGAGTTCCTCAACTTCAGAAAGCAAACCTCGGGCGATCATCTTATCAACGCGGCCATCGAGACGGCGATGCAGCACGTCCTTGTTGGCGTGCACCCAGAACACAAGAGTTTCGAAACGCAGGCCTGACCGCCTATCCGATGTTGTGCCATCCGCCTGGGCAGCAGAAGCCTCGCGTTGAAGCTTTTGCTCTTTGTAGAGCTGCGAAGCCGGTTTGCCTGTTCTGAGATATATCTCCAGTGAACGCTGGATTTTGCGCCGCTCATTTGGATGCCACCGATCGGCCATGATAGGATCGACTTCCCTCAGCTTGGTAAGGAGGACATCGGTCGGCTCTTCTAGTATAGGCAGTGGCTGGCTGTTTTCATTCAGATTCAACTCGGGCTCATCTGATAGCGCATCCTGGAACAGGAGTGACTGT